TTTTTTGCAGTCAGAAACCTTATTACTGAGCGCACCTCGCAGCTCGCGGGATTTTCAATTAACGCAGACATTTCAAACCGTCACAGTATCTGAACGGAGCACAGCACGAACCTCTCACTAGCACGGCTAGATGCAGACTGAGCTGCGCAACGCTCTGACCCCAAGATGGCCGCGCTAGCCCCGCCCCTAGCGGACACAGACGGAAACGTAATCTACTTCCTGGATGGCCCTCGTAAAATGAGAAGGGGTTAAAACATTAATAGAGTCAATATCAGTTTCGTTCACGTAAGTAAGCGGACGTGAATTCAAAACAGCCTCGATCTGGGTAAGTAGCGTTGACAAATCTTCGTAAGTTAAAAGAGTCTCTTTCAATACTCTTCTCAGATGAAATTTCGTTGAGCGAATGCCGGCTTTCCATATTCCTCCGAAGTGGAGCGAAGCAGGCGGTATATAAAATGCCATTCAATAGATGACTTAGTTAGTTCTCGGGAAACCGATTCTGTTGCATACAAGGAAGACCAAATCTGATTTAGTTCTTGTAGTTTTCGGCATGCTCCCACAAAATTGGTACCGTTGTCACTGTAAATGTGCCGTGGTGCACCGCGACGTGAAATGAAACGTCTAAGTGCCGCAGCGATAAACGAGTCTGCCGTCAGGTCACTGACTGCTTCTATATGCACAGCTTTAGTCGACAAGCAAACAAACAGAGCTATATAGCCTTTCGTTGTTTTAGAACCACGACCCTTATTAAATTTCATGGTAATAGGACCAGCGTAATCCACACCAGATGCGTAAAAAGGTCGTTCCAAAGTCACACGATGTTCAGGTAAGTCACCCATCAATTGCGGATTTGAAGCAGCTTTAAATCGATGACATATTAAGCAATGGTTGACACAACTGCGTATCAGTCTCTTTCCTCCAATTATCCAGTAAGATTGTCTGATGAGGTGTGATAATAAAGAAGGACCAGCATGAAGGTAAGTAATATGAAGTTCTTTCACTAGTAATTCGCTAAATTTATGTCGAGAAGGAAGTATGACAGGATGTTTGATGTTAAATGCTAAAGATGAATTTCGAAGACGTCCTCCCACCCGTAAGAGACCATCTTTATCTACGAATGGATACAAAGAACGTAGTTGGCTCTCTTCTTGGGTAAAGGTTTCTCTTCTTTAATACATTGTAAATCATCTTTGAAATAATGATTCTGAATCCAACGAATAATGAAATTTTCTGCTACTCGAATCTCTAGAAATGTTAGCGGCATAAGGCAGCTGGAGTTAATGCCACTACGTGAAATGTTCTGAGTAACATGATGCTTCTTGCAATTAGTAATAAATCTTTGGCAGTAAGCCAGAATACGAACAATTTTACAACGCGAAGAATAATGCTCGAACAAATTAGCTAATAAATCATTCGATTCACGTATATGAGAAATAAAAATAGGATCAGATCTTTGTTCGGCCTTTACTTCAGTATCATCTTCAGATTTTAATTCATATTTAGGCCATTTTTTCCTCTTCCTGACGCAACCATGGTGGACCATTCCACCACAAAGTACAATTTGGTAGGAGTTGAGGTTCAATACCACGAGAAGCAATGTCTGCAGGATTCTGTTTAGAGGGAACATGATTCCAATGTTTAATAGGTATCACTTCTATGATTTGAGATGTTCTGTTTGCCACAAAAGTTTTCCACTTACGTGGATGAGCTGATAGCCAAGACAGAACTACCTTGGAATCCGTCCACGCAAAGATTTCAAAATCAAACTTCTTTAAAATGTTCAATAGAGATCGCATTAATCTGGTCAACAAATACGCAGCACAGAGTTCTAATCGAGGAATGGATACTTGCTTTATAGGCGCGACTTTAGTCTTTGATACCAAAAGATTAACCTTAACCGTACCATTGCATTTTTGGCGACAGTAAATGGCTGCTGCATAAGCCTGCGAAGATGCATCAGAAAATCCATGTAGTTGGATAACACTGTCCGTTGTAAGTATGACACATCTCGGAATTTCACAATTATTGATTTGACTGAATGTCTCTTGAAATTTAAACCAATCATCTGAGATATGCTGGGGAACAACTGAATCCCAGTCGCCTTTAACTAACCATAGTTTTTGATAGAATATTTTAATCAATATAGTGCAAGGAGATAAGAGACCTAAAGGATCGAAAATGCGAGCAGATTCTGCTAATATGCGTCTCTTTGTTATAGGTGCGTTGATGTGCAGTGTAGCTTTAAAACTGAAGGTATCAGTAGTTGAATTCCAAAAAAGTCCTAAGACTTTCGAACTCGAATTAGGAGATATCTCAAAATCAGAAATCAGAATTCAATGAACAATGTTCCTTAAATTCAGTTAAGAATTCTACAGAATTTGAATTCCACTTCCTCAAATCGAAAACCACGTGCATGTAAAATTGAAGATATTTTCTTGCAGACAAATACTGCATCATCAACTGTATTTGCACCCGACAATAAGTCGTCCATATACATATCCTCTTGCAATATACGAGATACATCTGATTCCTCTTTAGAATCTAAAGCTACCTGCTTCAGACATCGAGTTGCTAAAAATGAAGCAGAGGAAAGACCATAAGTAACTGTTTTCAACTTGTACGTGCGCATTTTATCACTGGAATTGTATCGCCAAAGTATCAATTGATAATTCTGATCTTCAGGGGCTACCATCACCTGACGATACATCTTCTCCACATCGGCTGTGAAAACAATTTTAGGAAATCGAAAATTAATCAAAATCTCAAAAATATCTCTTTGTAATTTCGGACCTACCCCTAAAAGAGAATTCAATGATATACCATTTTCAGATTTTACAGGATGCATCAAAAACTCTTAATTTTGTCGTTGTGCTAGAAGGTTTAATTAATGACCGCATGATGAGGAAGATAAAACTTTTCTGTATCCGATCTGTTAGATAAATCATCATTAATCACAGTCATATGTCCTAACTGTTCATATTCATGTATGAAATCTTTATACTGTTTTTCAAATTCCGGATTATCTTTGAATTTTCGTTCCATGGAACGCAACCTAGAGAAATTGCTGCCGGTTTTGAATCACCCAACTTCAAATGCGATTTATAAAATGAAAGTTTTACAACAAATCGCCCATCTGAATTAACAGAATGAGTGTTTTGAAAATGTGATTCAGAAAATTGTTCCTCAGGTGTTAGAAATTCCTTTTTCCCAACATCAACAATATCCTCCATTTACCAGAAACGTTTAAGTTCGTAATCAATATTTATATTATCTTCTAACTTTATGAAGTGTGAATTTGCTGTTTTGGGACCTTCCATTTTCCGACCTTCCCACCTATCACCCAACCGAAAATTGTATTTTGAGCTACAGGCTCATTTTTCAAACCATATATTTGGCCACATCTTAAAAAAGGAAAAATAAAAAAGAAAAAAAAAAAAAAAAAAAAAAAAAAAAAAAAAATAATCAGCTCCTAAAATCAAATCAATTTCTTTGGGTTGATCGAAATTCGGATCCGCTAACGGAATAGATTTAATGTATTCTATATGCTTTACATTAAGGACTTGTTCCGGCAATGGCGAAGTTAACCTATCCAAAATGTATGCGTTAACATCAATTATTTCATTTTAAATTCTGCTTCCAGTGCCTGCTTTAAATTCTTAAAATTTTGTCATTTCTAGATTTTGTTGCTTGGTGTGTGACTAAATTCGAAAAATTCTGCCACACCAGCTCTGTAACCGGTCCTTACCATATATATTTCATATTTCCTCTGAATGTTCATATGACTAATGAAATAAAATTACCAATATTGTCTATACATTCTAAATGCATTTTTTTCCCTCTTAAATAATATTAGAAATCTTTAAATCCAAAAATTCTAAAATGAAAAGGAACTGAATGCATAAAGAGAAAGAAAATTTTTCTTCAAAGATATGTACAATTACTGTTATGTAAATTACCCAATTGTTTATAATTTCAGCCTTTACCATAATTTCACATTTTGCTTTCCTGATCAGAATGCAATCACTTAGACAGTTTTTAAACTGAGATTTTTGGAGTATAAGACAGAATATGTTTGACTACCGCTTGTTCGCTGCATTAGTTCCTGCCAGCTCTGAACATTTGTAACTACTTTGGATTATCACTACTGACATTTCAATTTGTTATGATGATAAAGTTACTGAGCTATCATACATTAAAATTATGTTTATAATCTTTGACCAGGAGTCTACGTTTTTAGTTTGAATTTGACTCTTCTTGTTTAATTACATCACCACGAGCTGTAATTGACTTTGTTAGCATAAGAACATGCATTTACGGTCTAAGTTCTTTTTAAATAAGAGGCTTATTTAAGCCTTTGTCTTACTTTGTAGTTACTTTCAGACATAGCAATAATTTGCTTCACTCTGTGTGGATATTTTGGACTATTTAACTGTCACCAGATCAAATAAATCCTCATAGGTACATTGTGAAGAGGTTTACAAATTAGAAGATAAAGCACGCAGAAAATATTGAGAACATTGGTTTTCGTATTGAGGCAAATTTCTGATTGTTAGAAAAGATGTTTATAGAGGAGGAAATTGATATAAATTAGCCAAAATGTCTAGGAAGGCTTCAAATTAAAAGGAAGCATAAATATTTTGTTGAGTGTTGTTGTTGCAAAACGTAAATGTTTTGTAGGTTTTAATGTGTAATTATCCAAATATTGTTTAAGAATCAATGTCATAAATTACATGTATTTTAAACTGTGAAATTTTATTAGATTGTGATTTTAAAAGGGCTTTTTTAACAAATTTTGTTAAAAAATAAATAAAATTTAAAAGTCTCCTTGTAAATTCATAATGACTGATGTTATCTAATTGATGATTCATGTAAAACTTATTCTTCGCATTTAGTGAGACTTTGAAGTAATACAAAACAACTTATCACTCTGGTGCTTTGGCTTATTGGAACCTTAAAGTATTATTACCTGGGTTACAACCCCTGGAACTCTACAGAAGTTGCAACACTAATTGCGTCAGGCAGAGCCTCACTAACTTTCAAAACTTGCAACCGTGCCTAGATCAGACCCTTCAGGTTTGTTCTGATCAGCAGGTCTCTGTCTAGGCAAACAGCAATGGTGAGAACAGCTAGTCTTTTGTTATGAATCATTGATTTTTACTTCTCATTTTAACCTATGCCGCTTGACGTGAAATCTACCTGCTATTTAAACCTTTAGAGTGAGAAAGTATGTGACAAAATGAGACGCAAAAATTATCAACATAAAGCCAACTCTTAGTAAATCGCAAATAAAATGTCATTTATCTTCTTTCAAATATGTCGAACTGTTATAAGTGTAAAATATTTAATGCTACTTGATAAATTTCATAGAGTTAATTTTATTCTCAAAATTATTAATAATTATGTTTAATAGTAATGCTTCCTAGTTATGGATCTATTTTATTTTTAGGATGATATTACAAAAGTGAAGTTCAGGCATAAATAATATCTTTAATTGAATTTATTCAGCTCCCATTTGCTGATTTAATTTTTTCATTAATGGTCTTTAAAAGTACTTAATTTCTGTGTGCAGGAATGTGTATGAACCCTGTATTATATTCTGAAATCAGAAGGACGTTTTGAAATAGCCGAAGCACTCGGTAATATATAAACTAATTCATGTTAACAAATGACACAAACGAGGCATTCATGTCCGCATTTGTATTGGAAGTCAGATTAAAGATTGATTGATACCAGCAATGGATTTGATTTGTAGTTCATTGATAGTAATAATAATGAGCATGTAAGGGCTACCTGCCTAAGGGATTACAAAGGACTTTTTATACCATCCATTTGTGTATGTTATATTTGCTTCATTTTCTTATTATTACAATATTGAGTTTATTATTATAATAAATTTTCTGATAAAGCTTTTCAGTAGTAGCAAATTGGTTACGTATTAATATTCAGGCATGTCTGTTTAATTTGCTTTATTTATCATTATTGCTGTGTAAGTATGCAAAGCTAATCCCCCCTCCCTATTCTCATAATATAAATGCAAAAATTATGTGTAACATATATGCACGGTGTCTATAATTAAAGAACCTTATTTCAAAGCTTAATGAAATTGGAAAAAAAACAGGATCTTTTTTTGTTCATCCTGAAAGAGGAAGAAAACTAGTTTCTGCAGAAGCAGTACAAGATTACGCTTCAGTTCGTAGATGACACAACTCAAACTTTCAGGCTAGCACTAGGCTAGCAGAGGTACTGGATAAGCTATGTTCAACTGTCCATAAGATCTTGTGGAATATTCTTGCTGAAAGAAATTCTCATCTTTTCATTATGTCCGCCACAAAATTTTTCAATTTTCTGGTTAATGGTTTCACTTGTAGACAGCTTTGAAATATTCTTTAATTATAGACATCCTGTATATTATATATAATAATAATAAATTTGTGCAAAGAGAGGGTTTAATAGAACCATATACTAAATTTCATGACTGGAGTAGCAGGGATGGTGATAGAAAATAACTTGAATCTGTGGTGTAATTGATAACTGGAACTCTTTTGAAGAATTAAAAAAACCACTTGATAACCCGAAAATCTTATTACTTCTCGATACTTATCAAGGTATCTTGCTGCATAAAATATCTCATTATACAAAGATTGCTGTAGACTCAGTACAACAGTATTTTATATTTGCATGTATACAGTACAAAGTCTGTAATCCGGACGTCCATTATCCGGAATAATCTATAATCCGGACCTCAAAGCCACAAACTTTTTTTTGTATGCTTTACGCATATGCACGTTGAAAAAATTGTTTAATAAAATAAACAAATAAATATTAAGCTCTTGTAAAATTTTATACCTTTTAGATCATAATTGCTCTTTATTTCGTAAATTATGGTTTCATATTTTTAATTGTATAATTTTTGCATGCCATCTTACCAGATTTAAATTGATGATCTATAATCTGGAATCGCCAAAGTCCCAACGCCTGGATTACAGACTTTATACTGTATTATATGTCTAAACTTCTCATCTTCATAATTTTTTGCCTGTTTCAGAGCTCTGATGAAGATTTTGAGTCAGCAAAAGAAACACAAGTAAAAAAGGCAAGCAACTTTGTTTTTGCATTTTCATACAAGTTCATTAAAATACTAAACACCTTTTGTTCATGTGATCTTTAGATAACTTATTTTAATCATTGTTTGACAGGTTCTACCTACATGCTTTGCCTTAATATCAACCGACAAGTTAAATTTTTTGTAAAAATTAATTTATTTAGCATTTTTTTAAACATATACAAGCTGAACATTTTTGGAACTTTTTCGAAGGCTAAATTATGGGGTAGGCTTGTATTCAGATCCATTAATCACACAAAACACGTAGATATGTTCTTATTAGCTGCATGCTAGTGATATTGTATTCCTAAAATCTATGGGGGAAAGTAATTTAAAATTAAGTAAGATATTTGTTTTATGAAAATGGATTGTTTTGCTTTCAAAATTGGTCATAATGCTGGTTTATTACATCATCACCAAAACAAAAATAAGACTAATACATATACCACTGAAAATATTCAAGAAACAAAGAATGGAAAAAATGGCCTAGCTTTTAGGCAGGGTTACCAAAGTTAAAACTATTGTCGCTGCCAAATCTGGCATTTACTTTACAATAATTTCATTGCGAAATATTCCACCTGTTTTGTTTGCTTGCCAAGATGTTTAACCCATTAATCGCCAAAACTACAAGGAACTTTTCTTTTCTCATGAAAATAATAATAAATTAAGCATTTATAACATAAATTTACATTGAAAATAATAAAAAAAATGCTCTTACCTGTGGAAAAAGCGATTTGCGTTCCGGCAACGTCAGCGGAATAAGACTACGGATGTTTAGTGAGTAGGATTGTACTCGTGTGATGTTTCTTTGGAGTGGAGCGCAGGATTACTTTTTAGCTGTATAACGTTTTATAAATCTACAAATCACTTTACTTGTAATTAATTTAATATTAAAATATGCATGTATATTTCTTTTACAAATACAGATTATTTCAATTGGAAGATTCAAGCATGAAAAGCTTCACATTACAATCATGATGTAAAGCTACATTACATACTTTGCATTCTATAAACAGTCTGGCTATGGTACTCTTTACAACAAAGTCTTTTGTTATCAACGGACTTTACGATAAAATGTCTACCATCTCCCTGCAATTGCTGAATTTGCTAGGTCTTTCTGTTGCTGATCTATTTCTGGCTAATTCTACAATCTCAATAGGAGTTTGCGAAAAGAATAATGCATTCCCGCGTCTGAAATCTGAAAGAAACTTTATATTTCCAGTAGTAAAAAGTGGTGATATTTAGTAAGTTTAGATACGATCTCACGTCATATAATTTATCAGTATTGCCAATTTGACTATTGTCAAATGCAAATTCTGATTCATATTCCTGTACTGTAAACGTGATATCAATTCTCGTACAACAGGAACAGAAATGTCCTTATCAAAAGACCAATACATTTTTTCTTGAGGTAAAGAATGATATCCTGTAAGCAATAATATTCCCAATAAATCTTCTCATATAGGCTTCAGATGCCATAAATTTATTTCCCCCCATATATTTGTCTGTTCAACAAGAAGAGAGTAAATGTCTAAACCAAAAAGAAAATCAAAAATCTGTGCACCAGTTTTACCTTGTGTTTTGTCTTTTATAATTTCTCTTCTATCTTTTTCTTCATGTTCTTCCTGAGACATAACTAACAGTTCCTTTTTTATCCACTTCAAGATTTCAGTCTTCTGCTTTTTAAACTTTTTAGTATGACTATAACTGCTTTTAGAAGGCTGAAACTTACTTTTTACGTGAATTTCAACTTCCCCAGCAGTATCATTTGGTAAAATATCATTATCATTATTTAAAACATTGCCATTCCTTTCTTCTTCGTCACTAGCCTCTGCAATTTCTGGGGGGAACAACAACAATATCAGTTTCATTCTGGTCATTATTAACATTATCATCATCTGTTTCTTCATCAAAAAATCTTTGAAGGGCTTCTTCTAATGTAAGATACCTCGTTCTAGACATTTTTTAAACAACCAGAACATGGAAAGGAATGAGTGAAAAAGGGATTGACTATCCGTTTCCTGCTGACGTTGCGTCAACGCAAAACCTGTTTTCCCTCCTTTCCCAACACAAATATAGACATCTGACTGATGTAATGTTCTGATAAATGGTGATCTTGACTAAAAATAGATCACTCATAAAGACGGCAATTCTTTCATTAAATATTTTCAGCAAAAACACCCGTTCGAAAATTTTGCTTAAAGTATGAGATTAATTATTATAAACAAAATGATTGTTGAAGGCAAATATTTTTTTACAGAAATAATCTTCATAATATTCCCTACACAAAATTATCTGCTGGTATAAAATATCTTAGGTAGTTATTTTTATATACACATTTATTTTGACCGTTGCGTCAACACAACACCAGCGACTAATGGGTTAAGCATTACAAGATTCCCCCCCCCCCCATTTCAGCTTATATATGGATTTTGAATTTTAGGTAAATTTTTGTTGAATAAAGGCTCTTTCGGCATATATTTGGAAATGTATGGTATATCAACTTTCATGCAATATATGTAAGATGAAGGGATATTTATTTACAGTTACAAATTTACCAATAAGTAGTACCAATTTTTAAAATGATTTTTATGATTTTATATTTATTATTCAGTATTAATGTTTATTAAGCAATATTTGTTTTTATGTAGCTTCCTATATTAAAGCTGTAGATATACTGGTTTGTTAGGAACTAGATATAATAAATATCTGGTCTTTGATATTTGGTGACTGAAAACACTTTTTAGTATATGTCTTTGATTAAAATCATTGAAGGAAAATATTTAAAGGGAGGAATTGTAATTGGTCCAAGCTTCACATGTATCTTATTTACTCATTCTCAAACTGGTCCCTTTTTTTCTACTTTAAAAAAAATAATAATAAATAAGTCCCTTGGCTAAGAACTGGTATCAGTAATATGATTAGTAGGATTAATTCTTTTTTAATTTTTCAAGTTACTTATGGTGAATGTTCATTTATGGTTTAACAGACATGGTACTCTTGATTTTTGTGTATCATGGCTGATAGTGTTATTACTGTATTAGTATGAGCATTTAAAGCAATGTAGAGTATTAAATCTTTTAAGAGAGCTGCCCCAAAGAATACCCATGCATGTAGGTCTATATATTTATAACAACTACTACCAAAAAAATTATATATATATATATATAATAAAGGTAGCTGTTGTGGTTTCAGCATTTTTCAGATTGAACATTATGTTAGCTATCATGTGAATGAGCTGACCGAGAAACATTAACCCCTTCATGATGGTATGCTTCTGAACTGAAAACCCTTTGGAGACTGGTGTCGTATATATGTAAAATATAAAAAATAGGTCTGCTTTGTTCTATGCGAGCAAGCAACCTTTAATTAACTTTCTGCAATTTCAGGATCTTTTCCCTAGACCAGTATTAGACTAAATTTGGATCTAATATTAGTAATGACAAATTAGAAAAGCATGTATTATGCAAAAGCAGACCTACATGGCAACTGCTGTGGAAAAAAAAACTAAATTTCTTTCTTAATGAAAGCAAAGTCTTCCACTGTTCATAGCATTTGTATGAAAACTGATTAAAGTAGTATTTTTTGTTAAAAGATGCAAATAATAAAAACGTTTTTTAACGCGTAAGTATATATCTTTGTACTGTTTGCATCTAAGAATTAATATCTGGACTTTTAGATATTTATTTGTAACTATTTAAAGTTCATTCATAATTAAAAAATATATTTTTGTCATAATTTTTTTCACTAAAAAATTAGGAGAAAAATTTCCTGATTTTTTAGTAACATGGGTCAGGAAGTATGCAGTTATGTATTGTTGAAATTATCTGTATCTTGTCTTGAAAAAAATTGTAAGTAATTTCAAGTCTGTGCAAGTTGCTGTGTATATACCTGCTGAGCTTGAATATCAGTGTCCATGGTGTTTACATCAGTATTAAAAAGTGCATTAAATTTATTAGCAGCAGCAGTGGAAGCATAATATTAAGTTATATTGGCCAGTCTCATTGGTTTTATAGATTAGAACCTATTTATATAATTATTAGAGGTACAGTAAGTTATTGTGTTCCAGTTAGAATAAACCCAGTTCTTCATCCAATAAATCTTCAAAGGTGCATGTTAAGCATGAGGCAGGAAAAAGTCAGCAATGTAGCTTTCTCCCTTCCTCTCAGCTGGGAAAAACCATCACATCTCTCAGGGTTCGTACGGTCCTTAAAAGTCCTTAATTTTTTCAAAAATGATTTTTGGTCCTTAAAAGTCCTTAATTTTGGCCAAAATGAATAAACGGTCCTTAATTTTGCTCATTTGACATTTCTTATCATTTCTAATGATTGCCATTCTCAGTGTGAATTGCGATTTCTCATGAATATAGAATTAAAATTACACGGCTCTTTAACCAATCTGTTGGCGGATTTGCGTTGCAAACGATAAAAAATTAAAAAAAAAAAAAAAAAACCAAAAAAAAAAAAAAAGACAATTAGCTACCCGAACGAAAGTATCGGGTGTCTGATTGGCTATTCACCCAATCTTTTCGAAACAGGTGTTATCCATAAATTTAGGCAGATTGTGACGAAAGCGTGAAGCCGGGAAGTTCTTTAAGAGGCGAAAAGTGATGATGAAGGTGCTCGAGAAAAAAAAAAGGGGGGGGATTCTGAAAATATTTGCCAAAATTAGAGCAGTCCCAACCTGGAAGGCCACAACCCTTCCGACGCCAATAGGAACGAGAGATGCCTGGAAAGTGCATTTTCAATAAACTGTGGCCTCATCAAGCTGACTACAAAGACTGGATATTGATGGATGACAAAGCTTTTAAAGCTAAATGTGGTCTTTGTCTGAAACAAATTGAAATTTCTAGAATGGGAGAGTCAGCGCTGAAAATTTCACATGAAAATTAAGTTTCGTTTTATCATTTCAATTGTTTTTTACACGGTTTTGCTTAGCTTAATTTCTGTGTTTGTTTCAATTAAGCCATAAATTAATTTTTTATCACCTTC